TCCAGACACCAGTAAGAAAGGCCAAGAGGAAGACATGACGAGGGGGGGGGGGGTGGTTCCGGGAAGCGGTGGTCAGGGGACACAAGGAAGGGGGAGGGGCGTATAAGGCAAAAGTTGTCGAACAAGAAACACCAAGTGACCACGACAGTCAGTTCTGGAATATCCCAGCAGGGCAGGTACATCGACGTTGGCTTACATGAAAACCAGCAACTAGGACTATTACACCAGCTCATTAGCCACACTAGGCAAAGAGGAAGACATGGGAACAATCAGCCCACCGGGGGGGGAGCATGTGCCCAGAGCATCCTGCGAAGGGAAAGAAGAAAAAAAGGAACGATATCCCCAGCTGTCACCATTGGATGGTGCACGGGTATTGGACACCGACGGCATGAAAACCCAAAAAGAAACATGTATGGAGTCATGATTCCAGATTCCCAGATTCCACAACCTATGCTGCCTTGTCCATGATCAGCCAGACCATTCTACCGTGCTAGTCTGCCTGGAGCTGCAATTTCAATCTCTGTGGGGGAAGAGAGTAGCCGAAGCTTTCCTTCGGCTTTTCCATATTTTGCCGCTTGACCCTCCCCCACACACGCGGCGGCTAGTTTTCAGTTTGATTTTATTGCTTCTATTCCCAAGTACTTAGCCAGCTTTACCCGGCCAGCCTAGCGGGCAGGCAAACAGCTCAAGTGGGTGACCAACAAGCAAGGAAAAGGACAAGAAAAGGAACAGAAAAGATGAATACAAGTGGTTGGGAAGGACAGGATGCGACCCCTTTGTCTGCAGGAACTGACGCGTGTGTAGAGGAATATCGGAAGGGCCGAATCGAGACAAAGGCATGATATACGTGGCGGTCTTATTGTTTTACTATTATTAATATCAATCATCATTGTCATCAAGAATACAGAACGTATCAAAGCAAGAGAAACACACCAAAACAAGAGAAATCCAAATTTAGAAGAAAGTGAAAGAAGAAGAAGAAGAAGACCATGGAAAACCTGATTCGGGTTCCTGAACAGCCTAATGTCAACTTAATAAGCTTTTCGATCCCGTGACCTACCCCAAAGGAAGGAATAAAGCTTTGGGGGCTGCTGCTAATTTGCCGCGTGGGGAGGTCTTCTGGGGAAACAGGTAAAAGGGGGGGGGGGGGTAAATGAGATGGAGGGGAACCGAGGGATCGGGTGTCGATGCAGAAAACAGTTTAGCGTTGGATACCTGGGTAAGGAATCTTCAGGGACGGTGGGGATTCTCGTCGAGTGGCTGGTGCCTTTTTTTTTTTTTTTTTTTTTTTTTTTTTTTCAGGCATGTTCTTGGCCTTTTTCAAAAGCTTAGCTTTTTTTTGTTCCCGGCATGGTACCATCATTCATATCTCTTTTCTGCGCATAAACCAAGATAAAACACGAAACTAGACAGTAAATAAGTAAATAAAGAATTCGAAAAAGAAAGAATAAACAATGCCATTCCAAACCCTCCCACTTTCCCGTCCTGTACGTGATCCCCCGTTACTTTTTTTTTTTTTTTTTCTTTTTGGCCCGTCGCCTTTGATCCTAGCCACAAATGGAAAGTAGTGGTCGATTATGCAGTCGCGGGGTTCTTTGTGCCTGAGCATGGGGGGATGGGGGGGTGTTCCCTCTGGTGGAGGGAGGCCTTGCATCTGGGGGAAATCGATCGAGGCAACGGTGACCCCTGACAGAAGCCCATGTGATGTTTTTTTTTTAGGAATAAAAAGAATTAATTTAATTTCTCATAGCCGCCAGATTTGTATCTGTCGTGCGTCTATGCTGGGCAGGGCGAGGCGGTAGGGGGGGTAGGGAGTTGTTGAGGCAGACATGACGAGACGAAAGGGTGTTTTTTTATTGTTTCTTTTTGCTTCAGTCCTGTCTTGTCTGGCTGGGCGTGGGTTTCAATACAATTTTTTGGTCGGTCCGGCCGGCCGAGTAACAGACCACAAGACCTGACCGGCAGGCGCCAAGAGACAAGGGGAGGACAAAAAAAGAGAAACATTAAACACACAAATGGGAAAGAAGAATAAACATAAACATGAATGTCGCGGCCAGGATGGAAATCACACAAATCTGCATCCATCGAGATACGACACTGAAAATGAGGCATCACATCGGCCACCGCCTCTCTACTCTTCACCTATCAAACAACGAGTCATGTGCGCTCGTTGGGCCAGCAAATTGTGGTACTCTCCCATGCTGTCTAGTGCTCTTCCCAACAAAAAGGAGAAGAAAAAAGACCACAAGGGAAAGGAAAACAACAAAAAGCGGCAGGTTGGCGTCAAGCGTCGCATCGGGACTCGGGGGGCGCGTGAATGCTTCAGATGCAGAATGAAACCCATCCCATATTCCCATCGTCCATCGTCCATCGTCCATGTCCAAATCGGCTGTTGGTTGCCTACGTGTCAGTCACTGGTGGTTTGGTGTCCATGGACCATGACGAGACGAGGGCCATCAATGCAGTCACCATTCAGACGGAGACACACATACACACATACAGAAAACCAGACAGCAGCCACTTGACGCTTGACACTTGACATCCTGTCGCTCACACATGGCCAAGTAACATGACCCCGCGCGTGGGCACCAGGGAGGGGGGGGGGGGGGAGGCAACTGGGGCCAAAGCCCATCTTCCGGTCGGCCGTGGCACAAGATGGAAATGACGGGAAATCCTTCGCTTGGTCTGTCTGCATGAAGAAATTTTAGAGCTTCCTTCCCTCTCGAGAAATTCGGCCCCGTCGTGCGTAGGAATTCTTTTTTTTTTTTTTTTTTTTTTTTTTTTTTTTTTTTTTTTTTTTGCAGGCTCAGTAATTTCTGTCTTTTCTTCATATTCCTTTTTTTTTTACAGTCGCGTGACTACCTGACTGGTGGAGAAGACAATTCCACAACACCGCGACGGGTAAAGTACTATTACTATTGAATTGGAAGAAAATACTATGCTCTTGAAAACACTGTTGAACATGTGCAACATTATTCTCCGTGAACCTGTACATGCATGCATCTCCCCTTTGGACAACTCTCCCGCGGCCAGGGCTGCTTACCCTGCGTCGGGATCTGCCAGGGCCCTCGCCAGAAAATAAATGGCCGCGGCTTCGCTTCCCAGATTTGCCCGTGCCAAGATGCAAAACGAAGGGAGGGGATTTAAAATCCGATCCCCCTGGGGCCATCAGTCTTCCTTTTCTTTTTTTTCTTCTTTTCTTTTCTTCTTTCGATGCCATGGTCGCACAAGACACGGCCTCGACAGGGGCAGCAGAGCAGAGCAGAGCAGAGCCCACGACAGCCAAGCGTTTCCAATACACTCCCACTTCTGCATGACGTTGCCCAAGCGGGAATGGATTATATTCATGTCATCCCGCACGGGCATCTCCGTACCTTATGTCACGTTTGTTTCCCGGACACGCCTTCATCCGTACATGGATGAGAGGCAGTTTGATCCTATCAAACTGCCTCGGCCCAAACAAGCCAAGTGTATCAACTTTGGGCGTCGGCAAGGCATCAAATGGACGAGCAGATCTGAGACAAGGAATCTGGTGATGGGGTCTCGTTTTTGACAGATTCTGCGAGTGGAGATGATGGACATGTCCATGGTGCTTGTCAAACAATACATCATAACGGGAATAAGCCAGCTGCAAAAAAAAAAAAAAAAAAAAAAAAGAGTGACATGTATCTGCGGCTCATCGGCGAGTATACTCGTTCTCTCATTTTCGTGACTGCGCCCGTCCTTTGCGTGATCCAAGCCCATGACTCCATTCACACCGCCGGAATGGCCGCCTCGTTAACTCCATTTGCACAATGTACATAAACATCCTCCCAACACATGAAACACCGCACCCATTCTTGTCTGCGGGATCTACGCAACGGCGCCGGAGAAAAAAAAAAGCCACCAGTCGGATCCCCAGTCCAAATGCTCAAATGCACGGCAGCAGACACGCATCAATGACAGACTACCAGGGACCAGACCAGACATGACACGCCAATGCTGTCCGCCTACCCTACAAAGCGCCCATGGAGTGAGTCCATGCACTGAATATCATCAACGAACTGGACCTCAAAACCCAGTGAGATATGATATTAGGCAAAGACCCAGAACATAAACCACATCAAACCCTTCTCTAATCCTCCAACCAATGCAAGGAGTCGTCTGCGAACCCATCTTCTGCGACAGTCGTGACGGCCCAGCTATCCTACTCACAAGACAATGAATGACTCAGCTGATGCGCCATCTTTCTTGGTTGGGCGGGAATATCTGATTTGGGCAGTCCGAAGAAGAGGCTATTTCCACTCGGACAGGCCGATGACGGTACTGGTGACGGAGATGTATTTCGGGACCCAAGCAGTCCTCACGCCGCAAGGCTCTATCCTCTGACCATGGCATCTCCAAACAAAGAAGCAAGCTCAATGACCGTTGTGCGAGGGACGCCAATCCTCTTGGGAAGTGGAATCCAGAATGACTGTTACTGTCTGACTAGACGGCATCGTGGGTGTTGTTGAAAACAGAAATTTTGGTGTCTTGGTAAGAGCAGGAGGAAAAAGCTCTTGGTAGGTAGCTAGCCTGTGGGATTGGCTGATCACATAATGTGATACATGTGTACCATGTACATACACATGTAGTCGGTCAGTGAGTACATCACGCCAATCCGCCAAGAGTCCTCACTGCCGTCGTGACCGTCGCAATGACCGGGTGCCCGCCCGCAAGCCGACACCGCGCGTGAAGATGAAGAATCAATTGAACAGACGTCCACACGGACCCTGCAGCTGACAATATCACCCAACTTCCAGCATGATGCTATCCAGATGAAGTGCACCAGATGATGACGGCTGCAGATTGCTTCTTACGAAACGGAGCGGAATTCGAAACGTTGAGTCGGGGTGATAGAGACGAGAAAAATAGGAAGGGAGGCGCGGGCATGGAAGGGGGACTGAAAAAAATATCAAAAAATAACCACATGCATGAATGAGAAAAAAAGAGGTACAATGGTGGATTTTAACCACCTACGATGGACAGACGGGGAATCGAACCCCGGACCACTCCCAGATCAGATCACCTGCAGATGACATGCTAAGGGAGTATTATACCACTAAACCATCCGCCCAATGATTGGTTCGCATCTTGACTAACAATCAAAAAATTCAAATTATATACCTTACACCTAGTAGACTAAACATTGCCAATGCTTGTCGCCCAGTTTCGCGGCTCATGCTCATGTGATTGGAAGCCACCGTAGACCTGGCGCACCCCAGACCACCCACGGCTTGCAGGTCGCCCAGTCGCAGTCGCACGCAGCGCGGACCTCGCGCCCGCGGTCTGGTTGCTGGCCACTGGATTTCATTGCCGGGATTTATTGGCACAGCGCCGAATCACAGCATCGAATCTCGAGGCATCGTCTCCGTCCACGCGCCATGTCTGAAGACGACATTGACCTGCTTGCCCCCGACGGGCAAGCCTCTTCTTCTCGTGTCGATCGTGATCGACGGGCCCCGCGATTCAGCTGGACTCCCGCATACGAAACAACATTTTTCCGCAGCCTTTGCGCCAGCGTTCAGCTCGGGTTGCGAGAAAACAGCAGCTTCAAAGCCGAGGCTTGGGAGCGCGCCGCGCAAGCCCTGCAGGAGTTCCATGGCGCGTATCCTGCCAAGAGCCATCTCATCAACAAGAGCGACAATGCGCGGAAACGATTCCGACTCTGGCGTGGTCTGCGCGAGGACCCAGACTTTGCGTACAATCCAGTCTCCAGGACGGTGACTGCCACCGAAGATGCCTGGAAGGCGCATATAGAAGTGAGTGAGAATCTTCACGACGCGTATGGACTTGGTCAAACGCTTCAAAACATTTAAATGTCAAACGAGGGCAAGAAAGAAAAGGAGAAAATAATAAATGAAAAAGGCACGGGAGCAGGATGATGAATACTAACAGACATGGACAGAGAGAACCCCTGTCAAGAGCCCTCCGGGGTCGACCATTCGATCATGAAGAATACATGGAGATATTGTATCCCGATGTAATAGGATCTGGTGGCGCCCCCAAAAGAATCATGAAGCCGCGGAGAAGGACCGACGGACTACCCGCAGACGAGTCGGAGATGCCTGAAACGGGCGTCTTGCAATTACAGCCCGATTCTTCGAATATACCGACCAGCCAGAACAGCCCTGGCCCGGCGCGATCGTCTTCAAGCCTGACGCCGACTGCCTCAGGCACAGCTGTGGGAGGACTGCAGACCAAGCCGACATCGACGATAATCCCTCCTCGGACTGCACCTCCACAGCAATCCGCTCTGACTCCTCCAGATGAGCCCATCCATCAAGCAAAGAAACGGGCGCTATCCGTGTCTCAAGGCGATGAGGCTTTCGGCACAACCTCGCCCCCTCTGATAACGTATTCTGGTACGACGCTGTTGTCAATAGGATCGCCGCAGAAGAGGCAACGAACCTCTGTTGTCGGCGATTCGGTCGCTCCCGTTTCAGCTCCGTCAGGCAACCTGCTCTACGACGCGACTGTGTCTCCTTTCCCACACGGTGCTCCGTCTGTAATGGCGACGACGCAAAGCCCTTGTCAGGCGGCAGTGGACATGGGCGGCGGCTCAACCAGTGAGGCAGTACGGCCCTCCCCCGTCTCACGTTGGTGTGAATTGGCGCTGGAGCAGTTCTTCAGAGACTTTGCGGACGAAAATATGGATCTGCAGATCAAGATTGCAGAGAATGTCTTGATCCACGAGAGCAAGGCGTTGATATACTGTAAGATGCCCTGGCGCGTAAAGCAGTATTGGGTCAGAAAACTTGACGAAGCATTTCGAGAATTGCCATGATACCACCCATGTCAGCAGAAAAAATTGACAAGAAAAGGGGTCCTCTCCTCTTCTTTTATTTTCTTTCCATTTATTTCCTTTCCTTTCTTTTTTCCCCCTTCATTTTCGTCATCATCATCTTTCTTCTCAACCCCTCTCCTCAAAAGAGCAACGCATTGACACACGAAACATAACCTCCCGCGTGGGGACGGATACCCTTGGATTGAAGCGGCGGCGGCAGACGAGTCATTTTGAAAATCGTGATACCCGTGAGAGCTTGGCGTTGTTGGTCTAGGGTTATGGATCTAGGGAGTTAGACGCGGACAGGGAGGACGGTTCCGTTTATCAATGCAAGCGAATTCCTCTCTCCTCTGCCCCCCTTTTACTTCGAGCAAGAATTGTACTTTTATTTTTTCCTTTCCGCAATCTATTTTGCATTTATTGAACGCGCAGGTCGTTTGACAAGACGGGAATGCAGAGAGGGATATATATATGCACATTCCCCAGATTTCTTTTGTTTTTCCTCCCGACCATAATTGGTGCCGGATCCGTGTATTATAGAGTAGCGAGTATCGACCAAGGACTGTCTTTGCTGTTCAATGAGGCATTTCGTCATTGACGTTGTGCTCACGGTGCACCGAGTGGATTCATTGACTGAGCGCCGAGTCAGATATCGATTGCCGGCTTCGGACTGCTTAGTTAAAAAAGAGGGTTTCCTTGGTGGCTCAACGCACGTGGCCAACTGACGACGGTGATGGATCGTGGCCGAGGCATTTCCTCTCGCAGCCAGCCAAGTTGCGGGGAAAAAAAAAAAAAAAGGATGCAGTTTGAACATGAGTGCAATCAAGCCAGTTCTGCCCAATGTTTTGTTTTATCACATGCACTGCTCAGGTTCGGAGTGATTGCCCCCTCCATCTGGTCTGGGTCCAGCGCAGCCAGCGGGGTCGGCGGGGCGGAGGGGGGGTTTTCCAGCATGTCAATAGCGTAGCGGGGAGGGCCCACAGCTTTCCCAGTCGCCAGCACATGTACGTCATCCATCCCTCGTGTCGACGTGCGCAACCAGCTTTTTGCAGGTTTGGCAGCCGGCCCGCCAGAAAACACTGCCAGCCGTCAGTCAACATTGAAATGGGCAAATCAGCCCACCCACGACCATTTTCCTGCTCTGCCATTTAACCCACACTTTCTTCTCCCATCACAAGCAACGCCTCATCATCCGATTGAAAAAAAAGACTTTCCTCAGCCCGTGTATCAGAAATAGCCTCTTCTCATCTCGACCCTCCCTAAAGAAAGATCCTTGACAAGCTCAAAACCATCAAATCAGTGAGTAGGCTCCGTCTTTGCCAAAACGTCACTGCAACAGAAGAGCATCCTTCAAAGCTAACATCGCCTCGCGAATGCAGTGTCTTATGCCGACGTAGCTGCTAGCGGTCCCAAGCAGACCCCCGAGGAGGTGAGTGAAGCATCACAACAACCACAGCAACACTTTCTCGCTTGGGAAACCCTGAACTGTCTGTGTATTGTGCAATGGCGATAGTGGTCACGTTTCCGCAGTCGCTGTATTACGTTATTAACAGGATTGAATCACCTGCAAGGCCGCTGCTCCTCAACCCGTAGAACTGGTCAACAACGAGCCCACCTCCACCCCATCCCTCGTGGGCGTACGTACCGTCCCATCCGACTACCTAGAGCAGACGGACTCCAAGGCCGAGCAACTGGAGCGCGACGCCGAAGCCGCCAAGACCAAGGCTCAGAATGCCAAGAAGCAAACCGCAAAGAAGGCCCGCCAGACGGACTCCTGGCTCGTCCACCAATTCTCCAGCTTGTCGGACGGGAGCGCTGGTGCCGTGGCCATCACCAACCTTGCTGCCGTCATCGGCGTCAGCTCTTACTTGGGTTACAAGGCATGGGGCCTGTACGAGAGGGGCAATTTGAACTGGAAGAACGCAGGGGTGGGATTTGGCATTTTGGCGGGCGTTGGAGTTGCGGAGGCTGTCCTGGGACGATATCTGTACAAGGGCAAGAAGGGTGGCTCTTAGTTTGCCCTTGACCCCCTTTTTGTTTTGTTTTTGTATCTTTTGGCTATGAGGCGCGGTTGCGAAGAGAGCCATGTAACTTCTTCCCTCTGTTTATTGCTATTACTATTATTCTAGTTCTGTTGTGGCGTTACTCGGTAATGGAATTGGTTTGTTTCTAAAGTCTGTGCTCTTGGTGGTTGCCTCACGAATTCAGCGCCCATGGCATGGAACGATGACTAAACCTCAGATGACCAAATTTCCGGTCAGCACCGCCGTCGACTTTCACTCATACCATCTTCACCCTCATGCTCTACTTGAAGCGTGTAGACGGACCATTTTGATACTCTATGTGACACATCTCCGTTGATGCAATGTCGTCTTTATCCCATGGCTCTCTTGTCATACAAGTCCCCCCCCCTTCTCATACAATATGATAATATACAAACACATGGCATGCATGCCAGATTATACACGGACCGAGATGCAGTCCATCCCCGCTGTTCGTGAAATTTAATTTTTCTTCTTTTCTATTCACGCTCAACCTGACGTCGTTCGGGCTCACCCTTTTCTTTATTTTTTGGTTGTTCGCGCGGAAATACCATGCAATGATCTCTTATTTGCTTTCTTTTTGTCCAGGCTGTTTTCTCTGCGCATCCCGTCCGTCTGCATCGCTGGCATCCTTCCACACCTTTGGTGCGCCATCCTCGATGGCTGGCCGTGGCTGGTCAGCTTTGGACTTTTCCGTCGAGACTGTGTCGGTGGCTTTGGAGGGATTCAAGGGAGTTTCTTTGCTAGAAGCGTGGTTGAGTCCGGGATCTCGAGGTTCTCCGTCTGAGGGCGGGTCTTGTCCGGGCGTCTGTTCGCTGTCAGGAGCTTGCTCTTCGTTTTCGTCGTCATCGGTCAGCTCGGCGCCGTAAATTTCGGGATATTCGCGAAAGCACTCCTGCATGCTTCTGTAATTGTGTCAGCCAGGTTTTTCTCGACGATTCGGAAATCGCAATAATAATGATGATAGCAAAAAAGAAGAAGAGGAAGGAGAAGAGAAGATGATTGAAATGACGCGCCGTGACGTACTGAAACTTGTCAATGCAGTCCATGCCCTTGGGTTCCTCGGCAGAGTAGACGAAGCAGCTAAACGCCGTCTTGAACTCCTCCCCACAGGGACCGTGAGCCATTCCGCCAAGACATGGACAGTCCCAGTTGATTTCGCCGGTTTCGGGGTTGAAAGCACCTTGTTGACCGGCTTCCTCTTCCAGATCTTCAGGGGACGCAGCAGCAGTGGTAGTCGCGGTAGTT